GTATTTTATCTAAAAATTATCCGAAATAAAAAATTATCGCAGTTCGGTTTTTGCGCGCGCCCCGCGCAATGCAGACGCACACACGGTATTAATTCTGCATAATAGAAGTATTATAAATAAGTAATCACGTTATATTTGCGTAATTACTTATTTACAATGTTTCTCCATGATACGGTTAGTAATTAGTAATTGCGAGTACTATCGATAACAAATAATGTCGATATTGTTAATAACAAGTATAATGATGAATGCAAACTAAGAAATCTAAGAATAATACGAGGTTTATCATAACGGTGATCTCTACTTCTTAACAAATAAATTGAAGATTACAAGGACTCTTTTATATAATAATAATTAATAAGAGTCAAATTACAATTTAAAATCTAAATCTGATAATTTATTCTAATATTATGTATTGCGAAGAATATCACGTAATTTTTTGTAGTGGAAGCCTACCTTACACGCCTTGATAAGTTATTAAATCGAGATTCTATATAAAGAGATATCCGCGTGTCGCACTTGCGAGAATTTGCGAATATCGATAGACCTCTGATGGCGAGTCGACGTAGTGATATTCTTCGCAATATTTATCCAAAGATAGGAAATAACGTTCTATTAATATATATGTAGTCCCCCCTCCCTAAATATTTGCGCGCCGAAGGATTTCGGTCTTGAAACGCAACTATTAAATGCTAAATCCAGAAACTGTTAATTTTACTTATCGAAAAGACTTACAATGTATTATCCGCGTTGTTACAGCCTGCGGTTTTTGAAAACAAAATCTATTTCTGAAATATCTTCAAACAATAGTATATGTTGTTACGATATAAATTCCGTACGCGCGTCGATGTTTTCGAGAGGAAGACGCGGGAAGCTTCGGGAGGGGTTTTCTATCTCCCTACGTCTATCTGGATGTACAACAGCCGAGAACTCTCCCGTCCCGAGATTCGACGGATTACGTGCAGGAAAATGTGGCTCGGGGCCAGACGCGGAATGTCATTACGTCGGGTAACGATAGGTACGTCGCAGCCATTGTTGGATTGCTTCAGTTGAACATAGGGCTGTGTGACTAGCATAAGCGATCTTCTTTCTTTCTTTTTTTCCTTTTGAGCCATTTTTCGTATATTGTTTAAATAACGGCTGTAAAACAGCACGCTGTGCATTTCGACGAACGTCGTTCTCTCTCGATCGGTTGAATTAAATTAACATCTCTCGATGACGTTCTGAAAAAAAATTGCTATTTACATTTCGTAATTAAACGTTTCCGAGGGATCGTTTCACGAATTTACGTAAGATAACGTGTTGTCCACTTCACGCACGTATATGAAATATGCGTACAGCGGTGTTCCTACAGTCGCGCGATTTATCATCACGTTACAAAGAAATTCTGGCACAGTTTTCATTCGATCGTATCGCGTTGCATAATTTGTAAGAATTATGCAATATTATGTTCCGCTTAATAAATCTTGTATTACGCGTACATTTTCTCGCGACGGCAAAGCAACGCGCAGCCGAACGCGAGAACACGATCTGTTTTACCGTCAATGACGCAACTATACACGGTCCTGTACTTACACGCGTTGATTATGTGGCCGCGCGAGTTATATAAACATTTTTCTGCATTTTTCACGAACGCGCGATCACCATACGACGGTTCAGAGACAATGCATACGTTTCGAATGTATATAAGCTTCGCTCGCCGCGCGAGCTCATCAAGATCAATTAGAGCAGTACGGTTGAGCCATCGTCGTCCGTTAACGATATATCAATTACAGCGTTAGACGGAGGTAATGACTATTAATGACTTCATTCAGAGCGCAATAATTACACGATGCAATGGGGACAGATCTAGGTCGGCGCTATTTTTCCACAACAGAACGACGACAGTTTTATCGCGTTTCGGTTATCGACGTTCGTTCTGATTTACGATTGAAATAACGCACCGATGAATTGGCGCTTTAAATCCTCCAGAATATAGTATCGCGAGTCACTCGCAAGATCGTGCTCGGTTATCGATATACGAAATACTCACTCGATACAATATTCGACGCTTCAAACGTGTTTCTTAACAACTTTTCAGCAAAATCGAACGATACAAATCGAACGATACGATCAGAGCGACAAAAAGTACCGAGAGCGGCGCGGGTTTAATTATTTCTAGCTACGTATATACATCGAGAATCTTTCGATGCATTTCCTACGTCGGACGAACGCTTTTCGCATCGATTTCTACAGTGCTACTTGCTCTTTTCACCTGAAAGCCATCTAATTAACTTTCAGTGTCATTTAGATGGTGCGTTAGATAAACATCTTTGTTCCCAAGGTGGAAAATCAAAAGCGCGACGCGCGTTCGGTGTAACATCGCGCATGCAAGGTCGCGTGTTGGGAGATGCGGAAAGCTGCCTAGGATTCCCGGGGAAGCAATAGCAAAAATGTTCGGGTAGGTCTTCCAAGAACTCATAAATCACCGACGACAACATCCGGTGTTCGCGCGTGGAGACTATTCCCTCTAACGAGGAGGGGAGGGAAGAGGTGCAGCTTAGAGGTGGGCATAGAAAACCCACCTCGAGTTTCCCTTTTATAGGCAAATAATGGCGGCGTCGGGCGATAAATAGCCGAACAATACCGGCCGGCGGACCGTTACCTGCTCTCGCGACGGAACCGCTCGTGTCGAATCGAATTGACAGGTGGCAATTCCCAACGGAGACTACTTCCGTTTTTCTATCGACTGCACGTCCAGGCGATGATCCCCTAATAATGACTAGCCGTGATTCGGCGTGTCGGAATTCATCCCTTTTGCCAACCCTTATATTACTTTCACGCATCATTTTTCTTCGTTTTATGGAGGCGAAGACGACATTTTCTTACACGAATGTCAAATATCCTCGTTAAACATCCTCATCTGTCATCGACGATCTCGTTATGATCGATTGCAGGACTCGAGGAGATACACACACAAGAAAAAATAAATCAGAGTATAGCCAGTAATGGGCCCAACTCTTTCTAAATTATAATCCAGTTTTCTCGCTATAGTCTGCTTTATTTCTTTGATTAGAATAAATTACGTATACTGGCATATTAACGATTTTTTTTTTGTTGTAAATGAAAATCTAGAAGATCGTTTTGTCTGAAAACTCTTATTTTAGGATTAATTAATTCTGGCTTTGTCGAGATCGTTAGTGACAGTTCTGTAATTTCGCTTATTTCAACTTGTATCATATCGCTATTTTGATAATGTATTTTTACTTATATATGGACTCTCTTCTTATTCCATTGACAAGAATACCATATTTTATGCCATCTGACATTCAAATTTTCATCTTATTGACTAAAGCACGAAGAATACAAACTGATATACTGTCAAATTTTATATAGAATAACAAATTTTGTATTAATATAATATATTTCTATAAAATTGTAATTTTGAAAATTGTATAACATTGAAAATAAATGACCCGATCGGAGTCGAAACGTCTGTCGATTTTGTAGCTACATGTTTTAATATTAAAGTTTTAATTTTTGTACATCACTGGCTCTTTGCCCTTTATTATTTTAATGTCTTATTTTAGGATTCGTATAATTAATGAAACATACATTAATCAAGAAATAGTAAAAAGGGTATATATGTGCGTGATATCTCCTTCATCTTCTTACACAAAGGCGAGGAGAGCAAGAATCTGAGACTGATTCTAATGTTATTTTAAAGCTATCGTGGACTTGAGCATTCGAGTATATCGCCATATGGAAGGATAGAGAAAGAGAGAGTGAATGAGCGGGGGGAGAGGAGAAGGAGAGAGAGAGAGAGAGAGAGAGAGAGAGAGAGAACGCGATGTCAAAACACAATTTGAAAGACGTAATTCGAAAATCGTCGTTCGCCCGACGGCAGCGACCCTCCGTCGGACGTCAAAATGAAATTATGCGACCCTCCACAACGGGGACCTTGGGGCAGGCACAAAGGCTCGTTTGCCGAGGACACAGTACAACAATCTGTCTAAAGGGACCTAAACCACTAATCGTTTTGCGATTAACTTCCATTAAACGCTACTTAATGAACAAAACTTTCCTTCCATGTCGTGACCAACCGCAGACGGATCTCCAAGACGTTCTTATATGTGAATCGAGCTTCTTCGTTTTAACCTCGCGGAGTAACTTCATTCGCGTGATATTTTAATAAAATCATCGCTTCGAGAGGGGTTTACAACGATCGGATTTGACGAGTATTATATTATTGTATCGCGAGATGAGTGGCGGTGGTTATAGAATACGAACGATTTTTCAGTAAGCCACACCGGCGGAGTATGTCTTCCCATATGGATTCATTGTTTAACCACGTGTGATGGAGAGACGGGAGGATACGTCCTCTCTTCCGGAAAACCGTTTCAATGTTTATTTTTTTAAACGGCAATCCGTCTTGGTGCCGTTTAAGAATTTGCACGCGTATGTTTTAACAATAAATAATTATCGTATGATCGTTATAATGATAATCTAGTATTTTTGGTATCACGGATTCAATAATTTGTACTGTTATCAATGAACTGGCGCTCTCGAGTATCGGCGAGAGCTTGTTTGTTGATTTAGCGCGTATTTGATGACTTTGAAGGAGATCTGAACGTATGCGAATACATTCCAGACACCACCGAGTGGCATACACGAAATATTTCATTGTCTCGAAGAGTAAATATATTCCATCAGTCTGTTATAAAGATCGGATATAAATACGTATAACATTCTCCCGTCCCCCGCCCCACCGCGTTTAGATAAAGCGTACTTCATTAGAACCCGTCTGTATTGATCTATCATTAATTCCACAGTGAAAAGAGATTTGCAATTCGACCAAGTTCGAACCATTTCACGGAATTTGACAAGCCGGCGGTGGACAAGTTTGACAGAATCGCAATAGAAGTGTTTGCCCGGGCGATCAGCAATTCTCTCAGCAGTCTATCCTGTCCGGTTAAAGGAAAACGACGTAGGGAAAATATACGATTAGTTTTACGACACACCTGTTTTTCGCCGCAGCAGCGCGATCCCTCTGCCTCCTATTCTTGAACCAATTTCCAACTTGCGTCGGTGTGAGTCCCGTCGCGGCGGCCAGCTCCCTCTTCTTCCCCGGATTCGGATAGGGATCCTGGAGATACCATTCCCGTAGCAGCGATCTGGTCCGTTCCTTGAAGCAATGCGTCTTCTGCTCGCCGTCCCAGATTGTCCTCGGTAATGGGAATTTCTTCCTCACGCGATACTTGTCCACGGGACCCAGCGGCCGACCGCGGAGCTTCTCGGCCTCCTGATAGTGCGCCTCCAGCCACATCGCTTGCAATTTGCCGTGCGAGTCCTTGGTGAACTTGTGCCTCTCTAGTATGGCGTAAAGCTCCCGGTAGTGTCCCGAGTGAAACGCCACGATGGCTCGCGCCCTGAGGACAGCTTCGCTCTGGTTGAGTTCCTGAATATTGGGATGAGCGACCGGAAGGCTCCATAGAAACCTAGCCAGCCTCTCGATGTCGCCGCTTTCTTCTAGGGTTTCACAGACCGTTGCCACTTGGCTGACTGAGAAGGACAGTGTTGGCAAAGCAAGATACGGACAAGGTACGAGCGGACCGTTCGCGTTTGGCGGCGTGGTCCCAGCGGCGGACATCTTCCCGAAACGGTGATCCTCGCGCGATACACCAATTTTGACTCAGCTTGTCTCCTTGGAGTGTTGATGACGACGACGACGACGGCCCGGATTTGTCGCGGTTCAGGAAACACGCGGCTCCGATTTATGCTTGCTCTTGGACCTTCTCATGGTTCGCCGGAGTCACGCGCGGTATGTTCGTTCATTACAAACGGACGTGACGTCACGGGACAATCATCCACTTCACTTGTCGACACTACGAAATGTTGAAGTTCGAATGGTACAAACAGAATCAGGTGTTATGACATCTGGAGGGAGACAGCGCGAGAAGAGTCTCAATCTCTCACGAGGCGAGAGAACGATCGCCTGTAATTTCCGCGGATACTAAATTCCGAAAGCCCACATTGGCGATTCTCTCCCTCTCCCTCTCTCTCTCTCGCGCGCGCGTGCACGTCGCGACCCGTCACTGATTAATTTCGAAACAATTCCCGAGGAGCGGCACGTGACAACGTCTGAATTGGAGCTGGTACGCGTTGCGAGGAGATCCCGGAGCCCATTGAAGATCGCTGTCAGGTGGGTACGCGCGACCGTTCACCAGGTCGCTCAGGTAACACCCACTAAGGCCAGGCGCGCTGACGTTCTTTCCACGTCGTGGGGATATCACGCGAGGCCGCTGTTGCCTGGATCGTATCGGATAGCAAACTGGTTTCGTTTACAAGCCGGCATCTCAGCACCGGCCCTACCCAGCATGATACGTTTGTACGCCCGTTGCAACCGGGCTGTCTCGCTGGCGCTCTAGACCTCTACCTCTACCTCTCTGTCACACTACTTCCACCCCGTCCGCGATCCTTCCCGTAGAGGTACAGCCGAGAAAAGAGACGGCGATAGACGGCGCTGGGGAGGGGGGGCCAATGCACAGACCACGCCTACCAAGTACACCGGGATTGGCCGGATCCCATTCACGTAGCCATGGTAACCTTTCTTCGTCCTTCCGTTAGGCAGCATAGGGAGCTACGGTTGTGTCGGTTAATTATCCCTTCCACGTAGAGTCGGGCCGGTTACGCGATCCCCACCGTGAAGCGTTCTTCCCACCACTATCGTCGCCCGCGGGCACCTCTCACGCCTTCCCCTCTCCGACAGGCGGAAAGGAAGCGAGACGAGGGAAGAGGGAGAGAGAGCGATCGATGCACCTCGCAAAATGTGGGACGGAGAGGTCGGTAGCCCGGTAGAGGGGGGAGAAGCGACATGATCCCATGAGCTGCTGCTGTTCCTGCCGCCGTGACGCCACTGCTGCTGTTGCTTCTGTTGCTGTGATCTCGCGACGAACTGTTTTCGACGTTGGACTCGGTTGTACCCGAGTGATAGCTGGATAAGATTGATAGGCTGCCAACCATCCGCTCTCAGACTAGCGCGTTTACGTTATTTCGCTTACTTTTAGTTTATATTCCTCAGTGTGCGAATTTCTCGATGTTTCCTTCACTGATTTTCGCTCCTTCGTTTATATCTTGTATCCAGCTGGCAAATATTTTATCTAATGACGCACTATTCTTCGTACGACGATTTAATTCACAGAAGAGACATTTCGTTTTTATAAATTAACGAATTAATTGCAAGAATCAATCCTCTCTCTCTCTCTCTCTCTTTCTCTTCAGAAATAAGAATGTTCAATATCTTTTTTCGCAGTATTGATCAGAAAGAATATTCAACTCTATCAAAATGCGGCTTCGTTAAGATGACACAGCCATTATGTACTGAAGTATGACATTCAACTTTCGTATGGAGAAGCCTTATATTTATAATCGAGTAGATCTCATACCTCAGACTGAGCGGCGACAAAAGTTAGCGTATTGAAGAATCGAGAGCGCGCGACGGCGCCGTTTTATCGAACGCGCAGCCACCGCACAGCGAAGTCTTAGTCCCGCGATATAGATATTCTGATTTTATTCTCCTTCGGTTTTATTTCAGTGCAGCCCGACGAATTTCATTTTAAACCTGCAAATATGTATGTGAATTCTGATAATTTGTGTTTATAAAAGGACCCAACTGTCACAAGTAAGAAAATAGCTTACCTGGAAACTTTTTTTATAAGAAGTTTAAGAGCGTAACTGAGACTGTAATAACTTTTATTGTAGAAATTTAAATTTATGTTTTATAAAGATCGTATAATTTTCAAGTTTCTACTTGAAAAATTCAATATTCGAATCCTTTCAATTTATATAGCGTTAAAACGTTAATATATACATTTAGGTGCTGCTGTTATTCGCAAATTGAAAGCATCGAGTGACATATAATATCTCTTGATGACATTTCGGTGCGAATAACGCTCACTTCGGGAGTTAATGTATAAAACCATCTTTAACAACCTACGTGATATATTATCCTTTATATTTACTTAAATCTAATGACCGTAACATTTGTATAAAAGATTTGATATCAATAGCCGGCGCCAAGTTAAATTCTCTACTATTATTTAAATTCTACTAAATTAAAAAGTAAAACCCACGTGGTACTATCTTTATCTTCGTGTACAATAAAGCCTAGTATACGTCTTTCTCTTATTGAAAGATCTTCCTATTTCAATCTAAGTGGTTTAATTCTTCTTTAAAAAAAAATTATAATGCTCACTTCGGGGGTTAATGTTATATGCAACGAGAGCGCGTTAAATCTCTCGATCGATTCGTAATAATGAAAAAGTAAACGCGGTTTCGCCGTGGCGGATGACTCCTTCCGATTGCTCTCGTTTACGTTACCCTCGACGGCCGTTCCGTTACACGACCGGCAACCCGACAACGGCTGCGATTGGTCAGGGTTAAATCGGATTACGGGACGAGAGCGGGATTACCTCGAGTTTTCCGAAAGATTCTATCCGCGATTATATAGTCTCGTAGTTCGTGGGATGTGCTCTCGTATTTTCTCCTGTCACAATCTGTCATCCATCCGTCTACGTTCGACGTATGTTATTTCTATACCTGCAATATTATACTTTAAAAAGAATTAATGTTTTAATATACTTACCCAGTGTGACATTCATTTCATTGAGATCACAGACGTTCATGCCTATTGTCGATATTTATTTTTATTCTATTTTGTTGAGCATTTTATTAAAAAGTTCAAGTTGTGTAAAATTAATATTCTGAATGTTCTGAACGTATAAAACATCATTTTTTTTTTCTACTTCAGTATGTGTCTATTTCAAACACAGGTGTGATTGAAAATATTTTATTACATGTGTCAACTACGCGGCTTTTTTTTTAAACTCGCGCACGTTACACTTATTCCATATTTAGAGAGTGCAGTTTATTTGCACGGTCATAACTACTGCATATTGGTGGATCTATATCGCGAGTCATCAGTATGGTGTCGCGTTTCAGTAGAGATTTATCAACAATATTCGAAGTGTCGAAAATTGTAGCGCTGCGAAGGATCGGATATGACGTTTCGAGCAAGCTTGAGCTAAAAGGATTATCGAACGTGATCCAGAGATGACGCTAGGTTGTTCGATGGTTAAAATTTAAATTACTATTTTTCTGATATATAGACACAATTTCCGTAAAAAGTGTCTTATAATATAAATTTGTAAATATGAAATATTTTGCAAATTCCAAGTCATTTGAAAGTCGCAAAAATCTCACTACAACGAATGCAATTATAAAACCTACAACTTTTGTCCATTTTGAGATTCCTTTTAAAGAAATATTCCATTGACATCTATACCGTATAGAGACGTTAGATTCTAAACGTTGCCTTATTTTTCTTGTTACCTATACCTAAATTTCAAGTTAAGGAAGTATTAGAATGTCTCCCATGTGAATGAAGAGAGAAGGATTAAAAAAATAAACTAGTGAAAAGATTTCCAAGGGATATTTTGTAAATATATTTATGTTCACATGGTATGTTTAGTCAATAGATTCTTATAGACGAATAATAATACCGATGGGTTAAAATGGAACATTTTTTGATAGCTGTTATTGTTTTCCGCCAACTCATGGTTTCTGTCTGCACATAATTGTTATACAGACAATCGATGCTTGAAATTCATTCCGTTTTTCACATTTTCTTGAATACTTTTGGGGATTTGAAAATGGACCAAAATTTTGTAACAGCATACATTCATTACAGTGTGTAATTTTTACGACCTTTAAATGACTTGGAACTTTCAAAATATTCCATATTTATCATTTATATCCATAAGACGTTTTTTTTACGGAAATTAAGTGTTGCGTTTTACAATATTCTTTTCAACGATATATATACGTATAATAATTAAACTCGTATTAGTTGTGCCGAAGAATGGAACCTATAATATAAAAGTCTCCTCGTGACTGCCGGATGTCAAGGTCTCCACGAGACCATCGTACGCAAACGTGATCGTGAAAGTGACCGAGATGCAGCAACGGCGGAGAGCTGCAGTAACGACGGACAACTCTGGCGTTTTAATGGTGTCACACCATTGAGTCTTTAACGATCCCTCGATGCTCGCGCCCGGCGCGATTAATAAACGCGGCAATGGACGGATACCGAAGGTCGTGGCGGCGCGCACACATGCCTATATATACGGGATATACGCGGGGACTCGCCGATAATGGATTACGGTCTCTCGCGCGGGATATAATAGAATATCGGACGCGCGAATAGCTCACAGATAAATGTCGCGATAACGACAGGTAGGCCGCGGGTATTACACCGTTCCATCATCCGTCCCCACACCCCTCGATTACGCTTTTTTTTCCCCCCCCCCCCCCCCCCCCCCCTGGCACAGAGAGAGAGGTCTTCTCTCTATCCCCATAGAACAAATAATTCCCGTCGCATGGCAGCCATTTTACTTTCTCGCCGCGCGTTCCTTCTGGCCTTCCTCCCGTGTCGTACTCCTCCTATTTTTCCTCCTCGTATACAGCACCGATTTTCACATGGCGCACGGGGTTCGCCGTGCGGTTCTAAGCGGAAACATTTGTCGAGGGAGAACGAGAGAGAGAGAGAGAGAGAGAGACGTGGGTGGGTATTTTACGGCGAGGTTCTGCTTC